TTGAATATCTTTTTTTTGTAACTTTTCTAATTTTGCAGGCGTAAATTCGTTCCATTCACCAATATTAGGAATCGCACATGCTCGAATATATTCCATATTATTATTGTTCCATGGCCATTCCCATGAAAACCAGTTTGAATTACCTGGTAAAGTATTAACCTGCTTTTTTACCTGAAACTAATATATATAAAGTTCGTTTGCAATTATTTAACAGCTTATTTATTATTACCTTTAGGACGCTTTGGCTCTAAGTGAGCCACTGATGTTCCACAAATCTCTTTAATGGCCAATTCAATATCTGATCCTTGTACAATATTAAATCCTAAACGAACATGACGATTAATTGCATGGGAAATCTGTAGTTATTTTAAAGGTAATTTGTTGAATAATCAAATAATGAGCTGCGCATTATTTAGAGATGCATATGTGCGATATTTGAATCACTTTTTATACCGAACACAATAGATTTGGTATAATAAATCTACAGTACTAGCTATATATGAGTCAAAATAAACCTTGTCATTGGGATTTCAATTAGATTTGTTTCAGACTCCAGGATGTATTATATGTAATATATAATATGTCATTTATTAAATTTTTCATAGACAAGTTCTGGAGTCTGAAATAAATATAATTGAAAGCCCAATGACGGTTTTCCTTTGACGGCGCTCATACATTGATCCAATTAGATTCAAATATGGTAGGTGAGGGTTATTTTTGGACACACATGGGTGTTATTTTAAACCAAGTATATAAATTTCAAAAAGTAGAAATTTCAAAATAACACCCATGTGCATTATTGCATGCAATACAATAAATTGATATCCAGACCTGGGCATGTGAGAATCAATTGTTGTTTTTGCTTCTCCTGTTTCAAGAAAAGTCCATTTTCTAACATATATATTATACCATTCTTTCCACCTTCCCATAATCAACATCAAATCTGCGTTATGATAATGGGGGCCATTATCTGATATAAAAACAACCCATTCTGGCTGAGGATCTATTTCTGATATTGCAGCATGTAAGGAGGAAGCTGTGAACCAGGTGCCTTGACAGATATCGGTTGACCAATGATCGAATGCACGAACTTGTAAAGTAGTATTATTAGACAGGCGAGTATATATCAATATTAAATGTAATGTCTATTCTTTTTTTTCAAAGAAGTCTTGTTTTGTTTCACGTGCACTTTTTGGTAAAATTTTCATTTTATAATCTACTATAATTAGGGCACCCGTTTTATTAAGCTCTCCTAATTGTGCATTAAGTTGTGCATTCAAATAAACTTTTTGAGTCTGATGAGCCAAATAATATAATAAATATTCTTTTAATTCACTTAATTCATTATGAAGATCAGATGGTATATGCTCTTGAATTTGTGCAAATAAATTGAAAAAGGCTCTACAACGGTTGCAGGTTAGATTGTGTGATTGCGAACATGCACCAAAAGCATATAGCATACAATAATTTATATAGGTATTATGTTTAGTATAACCACAAGAATCAACTTTAAGTTCATTTTCATAATCTTTTTTCAAATACCTTTGTAGATTATTATATTCGGTAAGTAGTCGTTCCTTATCGTTATTTAATTAATTAGTAGATACTAAAATATAACTTTCTCGTTATAGTGAATTCTTGATATAAGTATCGCCAAGTGAAAACCTAGAACTTTAAAATTGGGTCTAAATTATTTCACCGACAATCACTTCAAAGACACTGCATTCCATTGACAATCACTTCACCACCAAGCTTATTTTACAAACCAGACAAGTTTATTTCGTAGACAGTATATTTCACAGAAAATTTTTTTATAAATTGCACTAACCTTAACTCTAATTTTAGGCCTAACCCTAACAACAATGACTAGAATTACTTTGTGAAATGAGCTGATGGTGAATTATACTAGTATTATACTGTCTACGAAATGAACTTGTCTTTAAATTAAAATAAGCTTGTCGGTGAAATGAATGTCTGAAATATGGTGTCTTTGAAGTGATCGTTGATAAGTTGCAATTTAAATTATGGTATTATTAAACTTCAAATCGATATAACAAAATGCATTATCTAATTTTTTTTTTTTTTAGTATCCTATGCAAAATACCTGGATATTTATTATTATTATTATAGTATTATCAAAATAATATTTAGGTATTTTGCACAATATTTTTCTTGTTATCACAAATTAATTTTTGTATTACTTATATGTATAATACCTAGATACAATATGCTTGTTATTGATCAGAGCATACTATGGCATTATTTTTTTGACGTGAAGATTTTTCTTAGCCCGATTTCACTATAACAAGAGTAAGTAGCATAATCGTTATCATCAAAATTAAATTTACCTGATGATCCAAGCTTGCATAATGTAGAATCAATTTTTGAAGCTCATCAAATGATTCATATCCGTACATGTTGCAAATTGAACAAAGACCACCCAAGTCTTCTTTATATATATATCATTCTCCTTGTAAGTATTTATAAAATGTTGTTCTTTTAATGCCATCTGAATATTCTTCATGAAACCGTTCCATAAAGCTTTTTTGGTATTTTTTAAGTAATGTATGGGCAATCCAGTCACACTATCAGTTTTGTAAGAAATCATTATGACATTTGCCTTATCTTGAAAAAAACTTTCAATTTGTTCTTCTTTTTTGGGTGTTAATTTTTTTATTGTAATTTTGGGCTTTTCCGACTGAACACATCCTGGGCCATTTATACGTGCATAATGACGTGCTTCAGTAATCAAATCATTAGAGACCTAAAGATAAGTTTTAGATTATTTAAGTTTGAGTTCAATGTTAATTTATTGTTTATAAATTACTAACAGATAACTTTTCTTTGATCGTATCATAGTGGAATCTATCTGCGATAATAGATAATATTCTTTTTTTTCCATTATTACTACAAATATTACTATCTAATGCATCCTGAAATATGCTCCAAAATTGATCTGTTTTACTATGATTTGCAGGTATTCTTTGAAGAAATTTGTATTCATATAGATATTTTAGCATAGCTTTGTCTTTTGTTGGGTCTTTCGATCGAGTTCAGAATTCAAACTATAGAAAAAAAATCGAATTATTATTTTTGCACTGTTTCAAATAACTATAATCACTAATTCCGGAAATTCTGTGGATAGTGCTTAGGGACAGTGCAAATTCATATAATTGGTTGGTTAGCAATTAAGGTAATAATATATATCATGTGAAGTTTCACTGTTCCATAGAATTTTTGGTATAATTTCCCGATAGTTAGTTCTTTTATTCACATCACATAAGGTTAGAATTAGCATTTAATTAGTTGCAGGTATTATTTTTAACCTTGTTAATGTTGAATAGGGAAAAATAATTTTGAAAATCATTGCAACTCACGAGTTAACCAGGGTGGTTTCAAAAGTGTAGATCGATAGCACAGCAAAAATAACCAATCGAAAACAGGCTGTAACTATATCTTTTTTATTTTGAAGTTATTAGTTAGTATAAGTGTTCATTTTTTGAGGCTGATATCTAAAATTGATATTAGTTATTATTGTACAACTTGTAAATTATTAGTTGCAGCTGTGTTATTGATTTACACTTTGTAGCTGCCCCGGTTGACTCGCAACCAACATAATTAGAATATGTTTAGTAATTACTTTAGATTCTTTTCCAAAAGGTGTTATATTTGAACAACCAGTATGTCGCAATAAAGCTTTCCATGCCCGCAATTCACGGTCTTTGACAATATAATTTGGTGAGTATATTTCTTTAAATTTTGCTGTTAACTTAATAATATTACTTTTTTTGAGTTTTCTAGCTAATAAAAAAATCATCCCATTTTACAGATGTTAAAATAAATTTTTTTAAGTAATGGTTGAAAAGTTTATTCATAATTGGTTTACTCTGCCAATCTTCAACTGTACAATGAGGGGTTTGTTCTTTTTCAATTGATGATTTCATTTGTTCATGTTCTAGTCCAAAAAGTGTACTTTCTATAAACTGTGCTAGTATGCCGATTTCATTCCAAACTACGTTAGGGTTAGCACCATGTAAAATATATTTTTCTTGAGAATTTTGGTATATTTTGACAATCGCTTTATTATTAGTAAACTCTTGTAAAAATAATGAACGAGTTTTTTGAAAGTTATATATAAAAGAACTTTTATATCCTTTGCTAGCATAGTTCCAATCTGGGTTATCTGATGTACCAATTTCGAAAATAATCAAATTTAAATTTGAGATTTTAAAAGAAAAAGGTCGAAAGTAAAGATTTGAAAGTAATAAATTACATATTTCTAAATTATCAAATCCCATAACTAAAAGGCCATCAAGTTTAGTTTTTGTAGAAAAAGCTAATTGATATATAGATGTGATCGCCTTGGATGAACTTTTGCATATTTTACTTTATAAACTTTCAGAATGATATAAAAACCCAGGTTCTAAATTGTTCTGAATTTTGGTAATCATAAAGTCACGGCTATTTATTGTAGTAATAGTTTTCATCCCAAGGCATAAGGGATAAAGAGGTGTATAAGTTGCATTGTTATTATTTGGGCGGGCAACCCACCAAGCTCTAGCACATGGTCCATAATACAAATTTTCTATAATTTCACCACAAAAAACAAGTGAAACCTTATATTTTGACATACTTTGAAATAAATAAAAATGCATATTTTAAGATAAGATTTATTTGAATTGTTTGCTTTTTATACAATTTTATTAAGGAAGTCATATGCACATATTCAATCTTTTTTTTTTTGAATAATAGCAATAATAAATTATATAATAGGCGAGCTTCTGCTATTGTTTAGAATTCAAAGAAATTGTTTTAGCTAGGGTTCCTAATGAACCTAGGTTCAAAGTTCATAAACATGTTCAAAGTTTTGAATAAAGAAAAAAGCATATAATTACAAAGATAAAATACTTATATCTCATGATCTACTAGACCAATTTTAATGTTTTAACCACCATTCTGTTCCCAAGACACTCCTCTACAACTTTACTTAAGCATTGAAAAGAG